TCAAAAAGGCAGAAAAAAATGCTTATTACCACTAAACCTGATACAAGTTAGCGGAAAAATGATCCCAAGCTAAGGTTCAAAATTTGCCTTTTGAAATACCCTCGGGTGTCTTCTTTAAGAAATAGTATGCCTTTTTGGGGTAGTTGGAAAAAGCAGCCTGCTAACATATTTCAAAATAGAATACGGACCCATTAAAACCCTCCATGTAAATTCACACTTAAAAACCTGAACTTGTCACGTCTCTTACAGCACTGTAACTTCACAAAATAGTGTCTAGGTCATACATTGGGCTTATTATTTTACTCAGTAGAGGTAACTGAGCATACTTAGGGGGAATTTATGACAGTGGCACTTATCAAATGTAAACTTATCAAATTTACCTAAGAGTATATATATACACACACACATATATATATATATATATATATATATATACACATACACACATACACCCTGTGGATACTTTTTACAAATATATACGTATGTGAAATGGTTTTGAATTCGTTGACTAATATTTATTTTAAAAAGTATTTTTTAAATTTATATTAAAAGTTGTACTCTCATCATAAAGTCACATGAGGCATTTAGGATAGATAGAGAATATTATCTATCTATCTATCTATCTATCTATCTCCTAAATGCCTTATGTGACTTTTCAGTGACTGAAATGTGCCCCTTCAACATCCACATATACCTGGCAAAGGTACATACGGGGGTATTGCTGTACTCAGACAAAGTCACATGAGGCATTTACATCATAAAGTCACATGAGGCATTTACATCATAAAGTCACATAAGGCATTTAGGAGATAGATAGAGAGATATATATATATATAGATAGATAGATAGATACAGATATATATCTGTATCTATCTATCTATCTATCTATCTATCTATCTCCTAAATGCCTTATGTGACTTTTCAGTGACTGAAACTGGAGTGATCATGAAGCAGGAGTGAAAGTAAGCTCCGCCAGTTCTCGGCATTAGGTTACATAGGATGTAAGACAGCAAACACTGAGTTTGAGGTAAGTACACAGACATTATATGTTGCTAGGGTGAAACTCATTCTGTACTACAGAAACAAATGTTACTGAGATAAGGGAGCATCCTCATGGGGCAATAATTGTCAAATCTGTACATTATTAAAAAGTGTGAACAATGTTCGGATCTTGCAGTTCGAATGGCCACCGTGCAGCATGATGGTTTCGCCCCATTACGACTTTAGTGAATAACCCTGTAAGTCAAATATATTCATCAATTTCTATTTATCTAACAATGGCACGTGAGTAGGATTGAGGCACAGAGCAATAACGAAACTAAAATTTTTGCACGTTGTAAATTTTATCTAGGGTAATACCTAAGATTGACTCTCTATATTGGACCTTTCATTCAGTTAATTGTATAGCCAACCTTATAAAAAATAATAAATTAATACCCTTCAATCAACTTAAAGCAGCAATGTCATGCCGAACTTACCTTTCTTTAATCGATTCCTCTTCTCTCCCTCTCTCTGGATCTGTTCTTCATTTCTTCCTGTCTGCTCTAGTTTTCGTTAAAAGATAAGACAAAGTAGGGACTATTTGTCTTATGGAGGTTTCCTATGCCTGACCATCTCTGACCAGGTGAGGAGCAAAGTGTGCTTCATTTCCAGTGGTCGTAGAAACTTTCCCACAATTCTCACCTTTCCTCCGTGTTCCTGCAAAGCCTCCTTTCGCTTTTCTACTATTGCCTTATAAAGTGCCATATCCAAATACTGTGCATATTATATATGTGCAATGTGCAAAATATTAAAGTGACATATGACTACATATAAAAGTGCTAAAGTGCAAATAACTATATAAAGATACAAGCATCCAATTGTTAAGGACCATAAAAGATATTGCTAAAGTGGAGAGCTTCAGCCTATATGTACATATATTCATATATACATACGCCCATATATATATATATATATATAAAAATATAAATATATAAAAATATAAACAGGAGGTGCACTCACAGGTCTTAAAATATATTCAATTTTATTTTACATGCAAAAGAGACTTCCAACACTTAAATTTATGGCTATAGACCATGTACCCCCTTTATCCCGTGGGGGTGACAGGTCTAAAATATTACTTCAAAGAGAAGCCTATTGGATTTTTAAATTGGACACTGTCACTCCTAAAGGCTTAAATGAATATAATACTTTCTCTATGTTCTCATGATTCATTTATCCTATATTCACCTGCATCTTCACTGTATACAGGGAGTGCAGAATTATTAGGCAAATTAGTATTTTGACCACATCATCCTCTTTATGCATGTTGTCTTACTCCAAGCTGTATAGGCTCGAAAGCCTACTACCAATTAAGCATATTAGGTGATGTGCATCTCTGTAATGAGAAGGGGTGTGGTCTAATGACATCAACACCCTATATCAGGTGTGCATAATTATTAGGCAACTTCCTTTCCTTTGGCAAAATGGGTCAAAAGAAGGACTTGACAGGCTCAGAAAAGTCAAAAATAGTGAGATATCTTGCAGAGGGATGCAGCACTCTTAAAATTGCAAAGCTTCTGAAGCATGATCATCGAACAATCAAGCGTTTCATTCAAAATAGTCAACAGGGTCGCAAGAAGCGTGTGGAAAAACCAAGGCGCAAAATAACTGCCCATGAACTGAGAAAAGTCAAGCGTGCAGCTGCCACGATGCCACTTGCCACCAGTTTGGCCATATTTCAGAGCTGCAACATCACTGGAGTGCCCAAAAGCACAAGGTGTGCAATACTCAGAGACATGGCCAAGGTAAGAAAGGCTGAAAGACGACCACCACTGAACAAGACACACAAGCTGAAACGTCAAGACTGGGCCAAGAAATATCTCAAGACTGATTTTTCTAAGGTTTTATGGACTGATGAAATGAGAGTGAGTCTTGATGGGCCAGATGGATGGGCCCGTGGCTGGATTGGTAAAGGGCAGAGAGCTCCAGTCCGACTCAGACGCCAGCAAGGTGGAGGTGGAGTAGTGGTTTGGGCTGGTATCATCAAAGATGAGCTTGTGGGGCCTTTTCGGGTTGAGGATGGAGTCAAGCTCAACTCCCAGTCCTACTGCCAGTTCCTGGAAGACACCTTCTTCAAGCAGTGGTACAGGAAGAAGTCTGCATCCTTCAAGAAAAACATGATTTTCATGCAGGACAATGCTCCATCACACGCGTCCAAGTACTCCACAGCGTGGCTGGCAAGAAAGGGTATAAAAGAAGAAAATCTAATGACATGGCCTCCTTGTTCACCTGATCTGAACCCCATTGAGAACCTGTGGTCCATCATCAAATGTGAGATTTACAAGGAGGGAAAACAGTACACCTCTCTGAACAGTGTCTGGGAGGCTGTGGTTGCTGCTGCACGCAATGTTGATGGTGAACAGATCAAAACACTGACAGAATCCATGGATGGCAGGCTTTTGAGTGTCCTTGCAAAGAAAGGTGGCTATATTGGTCACTGATTTGTTTTTGTTTTGAATGTCAGAAATGTATATTTGTGAATGTTGAGATGTTATATTGGTTTCACTGGTAATAATAAATAATTGAAATGGGTATATATTTGTTTTTTGTTAAGTTGCCTAATAATTATGCACAGTAATAGTCACCTGCACACACAGATATCCCCTAACATAGCTAAAACTAAAAACAAACTAAAAACTACTTCCAAAAATATTCAGCTTTGATATTAATGAGTTTTTTGGGTTCATTGAGAACATGGTTGTTGTTCAATAATAAAATTAATCCTCAAAAATACAACTTGCCTAATAATTCTGCACTCCCTGTATATGTTGTATATGTAGATAGTTCTGACTTTGAATTTGGTCCATTTGTTTTCCATTTATATATATGTTGATATATCCCTGCAGTTGTATATATAGGACAGATTTGTTTGCATGTAGAAGGGATCTCCTCTTTTGTCACTCAGTATAGTGCACATAGTATTTATATATGCTATCTACACATATTATTTATATTTTATGCAGATGTACATATATTTATCTGCTTATATAATACTTGGTATTTCTCTTTCTTTGGATCACTATATATATTTCTAATAGTATTTACTATATCTGAGCACTACATTCATCTGTGCTATCCCTGTATGGGGTTTTCAGTGCTTTTTTGAGCAGTTTATTTAATTCTTTTTTCCTCCATAGTTGCCAACAGTTATAATGTTAGATAGATCACCTTTTCAGTGATCTTCTTTAATCACTTTGGCTCTCACGTTGTAATCTGTATTACACGCTCACATATTTGTGTATTTTCGTTGCTTAGCAACGTCATAATCACGTGCGTCATCACGCCGGTCACGTGGTGTACACTGTCTCACTTCCGGGTTCGGCACGAACAGGGAATCTTCCATACACATCTTGTTTGGTAAGTGTCTATTGATATTTTTCTATATATTTGGATTTTCTGGCACATTATATTGATCTTGAAAAAGACCCTTTAGGGGTCGAAACGTCGATTCACTTGCAGATTTTTTTTGCACATGTATTTTTTGCATGTAAAATAAAATTGAATATATTTTAAGACCTGTGAGTGCACCTCCTGTTTATATTTTTATATGCATAACGCCAAGGTCAGCACCCAGGCAAGAATTATTGTTTTTTTCAGTAAAGGGTGAGTGCCAAGTTGCATTTCTTTTTATATATATATATATATATATATATATATATATATATATATATATACACACACACACACGCGCACACATACATACATACATACACACACACTTATATTATTTACTGAGGACAAAAAAAAATCAATAAAAACTATTTGCGCGTCTATAATTACAGGTACTAATTTATGGCATATTATACATTATACATAAAGGAAGCAATTACCTGACTGTTTTCTCTGGTTTCAGAACTTGCAAATCCAGTAACCTGGTTAGATGCTGGCACACAGGTTTTCTACTCATTTTCTCTCGCATTTGGAGGACTAATTTCTTTTTCCAGTCACAATTCTGTCCAGTTATACCCATTGAGGGAAATCAGAAAGTTAATAAAGAAGGTCAAAAAAGCTTTGCAGAAATTCTTCCAGAAATTATCATCTCTAAGGAGCTCAGTTTATTAAGTGAAGGAGTTAAGAATAAAACTAGTGGCTTCATCAGCCTGCACTCGGCTCACTTTGTGCAAGGCTCCTATCCTGCAGAGCTCCTTACAGCTTGGGACATATATGCAGAGAATAAAGGAACAGAAAATGAGCGACCTGATAATCCGTGATATCTAACAGCTCCGCCTATTATATTGTATGTATTGCTATTTGTTTACAAGTGGTGTAGGGGATACCACTTTATAGGTGTATTTGGTGTATTTGAGCTACTGCACTTTCTTTTTCTCACATTGTGTACACATTACTTCACAATATTATACATAAATAACTTAATTAGCACTCCTAATTAAAGCTACCACTTATGCAATATTACAATAGCAGAATACTAAACAATAACTAAATATAATTACAATATAAAAATATTTGCAAGCTAGGGTTAAGGGAAATATTATAACATCACAGGAAGGAGTGTAGAGACAACGATTCATTTAGTCCTCTAGGGGAGACTGTATCCAGTTCATGTATCCAAAACGCTTCCTTATTTAGGAGCATCTTCCCCCGGTCACCTCCTCTCCTTGACAACGGGATATGATCAATCGCCACAAATTTTAATGTGGCTAAAGTATGTCCCAGTTCCAGGAAATGTTTTGCCACCGGTTTGTCCGATTGCCCATCTCTGTATGCTAGCCGGATACTGGACCTGTTCCCCCTGATGCGTTCACAGATAGCCGTTTCCATCTTCCCTACATAACAAAGACCACACGGACAACTTAATTTATAAATTACGTGTGTGGTTTTACACGTAATCGTGAATTTAATGGGGTAGACTTTGTTTTTATGTGGGTGGATGAATGTCTTTGCTGGCGTCATGTGGCTACATGTGACGCATCCTAGGCATCTAACTGATCCTCTTTTTTGTTCTTTTGATAGCTAGCTACAGGATCTGTATGGACCAGAAAGTCCTTTAGATTTTCATTTCTTTTAAAACAAACCAATGGTGCTTCTTTAAACTCTCTTGGAAGTGTCTCATCACTTGATAGTATCTTCCAATTTCTCTTAACAGAGGCTGCTACTTGAGGGGATGCTTGATGATACAACATTGGGAACACCAGTTCTGATGGCTTTTTCCTGTGTTCTCTGTGCTTCTTGAGGCGCTTTCTCAAGCGTTTGGCAATTATAGCCCCTTTGTATGAATTTAGTCTTCATCTCTGATATCTGGGTTTCCATAGTTTGGACATCTGTATTATTCCTAACGACTCTCAGGAACTGTACTTTAGGTAATGAGTTTTTGAGCGCCTTAGGGTGTGCACTTTGGTAATGGAGCATCGTATTTCTATGTGTAGGCTTAGTATATAACGAATATTGTAGTTTTGAGGGTCCCACCGTTATCTGAAGATCCAAGTAATTTACTTTTTCTGCACTCATTTCCGCTGTAAATCTGACCGGTGTTTGCAATTGGTTAAGTTCTTGAACCATGTTCTGTTCTTCCTCAACCGATTTGTTCCATATAATAAACAGGTCATCAATAAATCTGTAATATGATATTATGCTGTTATTGTATCTTTGCAGCACTTGTTTTTCCTCATAAACGAACATATACGCATTGGCGTACATGGGCGCCATGGCTGCTCCCATGGATGTATCAGCTACCCGAAGGTACCACGTATCTTCGAACCTAAAATAGTTGTTTTGTAAGGTTAAGGTGAGGAGTTCCAGCACGAATTCTATAGGAGGACCTTGATACACCGTGGACCTTGTCAAAACTTGCCGCATGGCTTCAACGCCATCTTCATGCGGGATAATGGTGTATAGGCTTTGTACATCCATTGTTATGAGATTAGGTTTGTAATTGTCATAATGTATTCCTTTGATGCTGGTTATAAGTGTTTGGGTATCCTTAATACAGGTGTGCAGTTGTCTTACTGGATCTTGGAACAGGTGGTCTAACCATTTGGCAATAGGCTCTAGTACGCCACCTATCGCCGAAACTATGGGTCGCCCCGGTGGTCGTTTAGAGTCTTTATG